AAAAAAAAAAACGAAAAGAAGAAAAATCGAGAACAAAAAAAAAGAGAAGAAAAAAAAGTCCGTATATTTATGATGTATCATTGCAAAAATAATTCATTTAATTGTAAGGATATTTAATCTGATAAGCTTTGAGTATCATTATCGCAACGAGAGATAAGTTGATTTCTTTTCTGTACCAATCTTTTCTTCTATCGCTTCTTTTCTTATTCTGTTTATACTTTGTGTTCAATGTATCCCAGTTTGTGCAAGTTAATTGTTTCTGAAATTAATTGAATTTTTAAAGTTATTTAATTTGGAGAAGAAGACACAAAGTTAAATATTTTCGATATTTTATGAGAATTTTAATGTCAGGTTCGATTCCATAAAAGGAACCATATATACGTGTTATTTAGGATGCAAATAAGTGCACTTGTTGATTGACTATTTATTACATGTTTCTTAATAATGTTATAGCTGTTATAGTTGAGTAACAATTGATCAAAAATGCACTTTATTCATCCCTTCTATCAAACGAGACTTAGAATGCACATAAGATGAATATAATATCAGGTTCCAATTAAGAATCTGAACCTTGACATTATATTTTTCTTACCAAATTAAATAACTTTATATCTCCAAAATTTTAGAAACAATTACTTATAAATACTCTCAAATTTAATCTTTCGTAATATTCTTTTTATTGCTGTCTAATTTATGTGCAATTCAAAACTTTTAAGTGCGATCGTTTTGTCTCGTTTTTCTTTTCCGTGTGATGAAATAATGAAGCTTTATAAAAATTAACCGATTTTTTGAAATAACTTATTGATAGACAGATATAGATGGTCTGAGCTTTTAGAAGTTCGTTCGCTCAATTCAGAATAGGATTCTGATTCAATTCAAAATAGGAAAGCTTGATACGACGTAGAAACAGTTGCAAAGAGATGCGAGCATTATTCTTCTAAGGTGCTCAAACTTGATTAAGGATTTATCAAGGATAAAACGTCGTTGTAGTTGGATACTACGATGTATCAATTCAAAGATTTATTTATAATAAAAATTCTGAAGAATGTAAAAATACATCTTCGTGTATTCCTCTGTACTCCATACGTATATATCTTTTCCACTGATGATTAAATATTAATCGTCGATATCATCAAAAATATGAAAGATTAACGGTAAAGAAACGAGGGTAAAGATGAGGATTCACAGATAACATAAGCGGAAATAATAAAATGAAATGCGAAATTCGTTCAACAACAAAGTCTAATTTAATAACAAAATATGAACGCTGCTTTTGTAATAAAATTAACCGTAATTATAATGATCATTAAAATAATATTAATAATAAAATAATAACTATGACGGCGTACATAATCGGTTGAGATAACCGTAATTAACATAGGTAACGAATCCTAATATCGAAGAGAGCGAAGCGTATGAGATAGATCGCGTTACAAATTATGATAACGAACTAATCAATGATTTTTTTTTTTTTTAAGAAAAAAGAAAACTTATATTCGTCGATATGTGAAATATGTATCAGACTGTCGAACGCGAAACGAGATCCCAGCAGACGAAGAGAATATAATTAATAATGATATAATTAATAATTAATAATAACTATGGGTAATTATGTGAAATACAATATTTGAGAAGCTCAATAGAAAAATGATACAAGTGATACTGAAATAGTGGTAAAGATAATAAATGACATATTAGATCTACATTTATTTAGTTTTAAATTTTCATTATTTAATTATCTACATTTATGCATTAATTTTTTATGAGTAAACGTAGTAGGATCTATTTTAATATCGATGGAAGCATATAAATTTTGATAAATTCTTATAAATTTAAATTCTAATGATTAAATCTTTCTCGAATTAAAGATTTTATCAATTATATCATTTTTCATCTGAGCTCTTCATTTAATAAATATTCTTGTTATAGGAATAACATTGAAAAATATTTTACAGCTGACTAAAACCAGAGTTTGCTGGATTCTCTTCGAGTGTGATTGACAAATAAAGAAGAAGGAAGAGGAACGAGGAACGAAAGAAACGTCGAATGGAAAAAGAAAGGAATATAAAACGCAATGATTATCTATCTTATCTGTCGCTCGTTCCAAATATTATTTGGCTAACACTCGCTTAAATTTATACGTATGTCTTTAAATATTTGCAAGAGAGTTTATATCTTATATTCAGTGAACCATAATAACTATTGGTGCGTTTCTATTTAACGCAAGTATGATAGAATATACTTAGCTAATATATAATCAATGAGAATATGATAGATAATTAGTAAAAATAGTATACAATAGCGACAGATACAAATAACAATATATATTTAAACGTAGTAAACAAAATGTGCCAAGAAAAATTATTATACCTTTTATATAATTCAATATAATAGGAACATATATTTAAAACGTTCTTTCATTGGCAAATAACATTAATAATAAACAATAATAATAATAAATATTAAAAAAAGTTTTGTATAAAATATATTGTAACAAAAAAAAATAAAATTAAATAAAATCTAAACTTCAAAACGAGCGACAGAAGAGGAAGAATATGGTATTATGCAGAACCGGAAGTGTAGAACGGGAACGGATGTGTATTTCCTTGTTTTATTTCTCTGAACATTAGGACAAAATTGTAATCAATCGCTTATCCGTTTACCGTAAATCCAATAATGTCTGTAATAATGAATTAGCGTTATATTAAATGTACCGATGAGAGATTTTTTTTTTAATAATCACACATTTTCTAATCTCTCTCTCTCTCTCTCTCTCTCTCTCGCTCTTGCTCTCTAATTTACGCTCTCATACCATTCTCTCACTCTCACACTCGCTCTATCGTATACTCTCATTCATTCTCACTTTTATTTTCGTTCTTTCCTTTCCTATTACAATTGGCGTTTCTCCAACAGGGCGATATTGATCGGCGTTTCTCCTACGAAGATCAGAGCCAAGAACAACCGGAAGTTGAGCTTCGTAGAAACGCTCTTCCCTTTTGGGACACCGACTCGTCGCTCACGTAACACCGGACAAAGATTACAAACAGAAAACGTGATTCACGAAACTCTCGCGTGAAATCCATTATCTCGATCATCGATCATCGCGCAATTTTTTTAACTTTAAGCCTCGTAACGTTATTAGAGCGTAGAAGTAAGAGATTAGATTACCTCGCTATAATTAGATTTTTTTTTCTTTTTTATTCTATTATAAGCTAAACTCGATATCTCGAAGTAAATCGTAAATTGTTAATCTTAAACGAGGAGTTAAATGGCGCGGGGATTTAGCGTTAAAAAGTTTCAAAATTTTTCTACAATTTACGTATGGAATATACTTTGATAAAAACTAGAATCGAATGTTACAATATTCTTAATTTAAGTGAAGAAAAATAGCGTACATCGAGAAGATCGATGATCCGAGAATTGATTTCCCGATTTTTCGTACGCGGAAGAGAATCTCGAGAATCGTAGAATTTTCGAAATTTTCTTTTTCCAAAATTCGCCACTTTCTCCACTTCGAGAATCTCCCTTCGAACATTGGAAAATATCCCTCGGAATTAAAACGAAAATTTTCTCTGTCCGTTGTCCGTGAATTTACCACCGTTTCATCCCATATTGTTCTCTCTTTCTTTCACTTCTTTTTTCTACTATCTTCTCTCTCCATCGCAACGCTCAAGAAGTAAAAACACGAATGTCGCGCGGAATTCGCCATCGCAGATTGCACGTGAATAATTCCTCTAAAATGCGCGTGACGGTAATCATAGTAACAATAACAATGACAATATAATAATGATGACAGTAATAATAATGACAATAATATCAATAAGAATAGTAGTGAACGTTTACAATCTATTACATATCATAATCTTTTTTTTTTTTTTTTCATCTTTTTTGTGATTTTTTCATTTTTTCGTTTAGTCGGAGGGGACGTCGCTCAAGATTTTATTCGAGGCACAGTTGGATCGCACGTCCGCTAAAGAATTCGTATCTCTTCTTTATTATTTAATAACTTTTTTTTCTATTTTTTTTTTTTTTTTTTTTTCTTCAACGCACCGTCCTCCATCGCGAAAAATCAAATCGGTTCACTCTTCGAACTCGTTTTGCATTTTTTTTTTTCTCTCTTTCTCATGTGTATCCGTGTGTATGCATTTCTTCTTTCTATCTTTATACTCATTTTTTTCTTTTCTTTTTATTTCACTTGCTTCTCATCCTGTGTATTTTTTCCTTATTACATTTTTATTTCCTGGTTTCTTTATTAAGCTCGAAAGGGTTTAATTCATCGTTTATTNNNTTTCTCTTTTTTTTTTTTTTTTTGAATTGCCTTCAAATATATAATTCGGCCATTCGACGCGCACGATTCGAGGATAAAAAGCAAGGATTAAAAAATCGCACTGTCGCACTGTGCGATTAAATATATATGTATTTATATATATATATATATATTTTTTTTTTTGGCGAGTTTTCATCGATTAAACGTTTCACGTATTTCATCCCATCTATGCTTTTACTCTCGATTTTGCAATGTAAGAAGATATGTAAGTATATCGACGCATGAAACAACGCTTGGATCGAGTCGAGAATTTCGAGACTCTTTTTCCTTTTTTTTTTTTTTCATTATTACTATTTTTTTTTTTTTTTTCTTTAATTCGAGATAACGTACGCGTCGAAAACGGCCGAAAAAGATAGGCAAACGATCGCAAACGATCCGATCGGCCGGATCCGAAATGTCGTGCAAAATCAACCGAGCTGTACCTCAATTAGATTATTTTATATGGTATCACGCGCACAAATAGACGCACGCACACGCTAAAAAGTTACATTAATTAATAATTCTATATTGCGTACGTAGTAATAGGTAGGATCGCAAAAAGTTACGGAACGATAAAAAATCTTTCGAAACGCGGACTCTCGAAGTAGCGTTAGAGACGAAAGGAGAGGTCAAAATAGCCGAAGACCGTGTCTTTTTTTACGTTGCTCTCTCCTCGCAGCCGCCATATTTGATCGGTATTATATAGGATGGAAATACGTTTCGCGAGTGAAACTTCTTGGGAATCGCTCTCGAAATTTATTTCTCGCCAATGAGACAATTGCGTTGAAAGAATTTGGCAACGCAATTCTCCATTTTGAGAAGAATGAAACTCTCTCGAGGGCGAGTCTCGAGAGTTTTACACTCGAGAGTATTTGCGTCGGAGATTCGATTTAGGAACCTTGGTTCCGGCTCTTACTTTCTTTTTTTTTTTTTTTACTTTTCTTATCGAAATAATCGAAAAAGGATACAATCACCTGTGATCTTCCGATTTATTTTTTTTTTATTTTTCTTTTTTTTTTTATGTGAAAAATTTGCATCGGGAGATTGACGATTGTGTAAATATAGCTCGGGAAAATTATTATATAATTTTGTTGGATTTGTTAAATTGATTATTAAAATGGATTTAAAAAATTTGTTGTTTACAAATGGCAGAGTGAGAGATATTAGTAATGAAAAGTGCTAAAGGAAGTAATAAGATAATTTAATCGATTGTAATTATTAGAAGAATTAGCTATGCACTGATACTTCCAGTATTAATGTTTCCTTTAACTTCGACGAAATTAACAAGGAAATGTTAATACTTAGTACCAATGCTTTAATATCCTTTACAACTAAGCAAGATCTATCTACTTCCGGTTACTTATAGTTGACATTTCTAATTGTAATATATATTTCTTTACTAATTTAATTACAATTCTTCTTTTTAACGTAAATGGTACATACTAAATATTCGAACGAGGAATATTATATCAATGTTGTCCCCAAGAAGAAAAGAAGAATAAATGGAAAAATAAGAAATCTAATTAAAAAAGATGGACAGATTTAACTTTTTGAAGACAGAACTCTTAATAACTTCTCTCCTAATTAATCATAAAAAAAAAAAAAAAAAGATCAAAATTCTGAAAAAGAAAAGAAACACACCGAACTATATTTTTCAATCGCATCTCTTCGAGATTTCGTGATACCGACGACTTCAGATCACGCAGATTCGTCGAGCATCCCGGAAGAAGAAACGCTCGGGAGGAACTTGTGTTATTTTTTTTAAATATTCTTTTTTTTTTTTTTTTTTCTTTTTCACGTCTCACGGGTTTATGGCTCTCGTTTCAGTCCGCATTCCTAAAAAACTCTCGAGTTTTTTCGCTGGTGTGTACTCTTCTAAAAACGTGGCGCAGAAAAATCGCTGTAATAAAATCGTGCATACGCAGCAATCGGTCAGTGTGTGTGTGTGCGCGCGTGAGCTACAGCGAGACGATGATGTCGCTGTGTCGCGGTTCTCTCACGGTAGAAGATGATAGATTTTTTTTTTTCTTTTTTTTTTTTCATTCTTAAAACACTAGTTTAATTACATTCTACGGCGATTAACCGCTAAGATGTTGATTGAATCTCGGTAATTCGGTTGTCACGGTTCTTGACCGTTTTCCTTTTTTTTTTTTTTTTCTTTTTTTAAACTCTTTCTCTTCTTTTTTTTTTTTCAACACTTCAACCCGCTTCATCACGGTCGATTCTTCCTCTTCTAATTCATGCGCGAAAAGCCCCAATCTCTCAACGAAAGATTTAATTCAATCGAATCGAATTTTTTTGAGTGTTATATATAATTTTTATAATTTTAAAATCTTTAAATCTTTGCAAATTTTTCAATCTTTAAATTCTTCTTTAAATTCAAGAAATTTATATAAAATTTTTTTCAAATTTAAACATCCCTATCGTTCGTTATTTGATAATATATCTCTTTTCCTTAACGATAATAATTGATTGAAAAAGAATTGCCAGTCAAGAAAGCAACACACTCTCTCTCTCTCTCTCTCGCTTATTCTCATCACTTATTTCTTCAACGATGGCTACGTTAAAGAAGAAGACAAGGGAGAAGCAAGAGAGGGAGAATTCCACCCTTAATCCCTTTCGATCAACGCAACAATAGGGGGATTCGACTAAAACACTGTTCGAATCAGCGTTCGATACGAGAAATGCGCAAATGTGTAACGACGAGAGTTTTGAAGTCAGAAAGCAGCAAAAAAGATCTCGAAGATCAGAGTATTACAGAGGGGAAAGTAAAAAAGCTTGGATGATCGTTACGTTTATCATGCATGATAATAAAATCGAACGGATATTATAAAATTGAAAGGATACCATCGGACGAACATTCTTCACCTCTATCTATAATTCGTTTAAAATCGCTTGGATATAGATCGAAGAAAAAAGCTAGCGACGAAAAACATTATCGTTGATAAAACTTCCTCTCTCGCTCTTCCTTCTCTTCCTCCCCAATTTCCCCTTTATGATTTTTTTCCCCTCTCAAATTCTTCGAACTTTCCATTCGTTTAAAAATCTCGAACGATTCCTGCAAATCATCCGAACAATTGCGCGCGTTTCGCTACTTGAACAAAGCAGATCTTGCTGAAAGTAGCTTGTTCGAGGGGAATGTCACGCGTGGAAATGGTCGATTATGCGAATTCTAATTGAACTTTAACCATTGAATTCATGATTCGAGGAAACTGTTTCATCGAGACGATTTTGATTCGATTTTGACTCGATTTTGATCGATGTTCCGCAATGAAGGCGAGAAAACGACGAGAGGTTTTGGATTATGTCGACTTTCGAAAGGATGATTTGTCAACAAGAGATGGACGATCGAAGATGCAGTTTGGATTCAGATTTTGTGGCTCCATTAATTACGAAAGAGAATTTTCTTGCAGAAAAGAAACGAAAAGATATCAGAAAAAATGGTAATTAATTGATTTTAACTGTTTCAATTGTAGATAGAAAAGAGATCTGAAGAGATTACAGAGGAAACTTCGATGAAATTTCAAAAGATTCTCTCTTTGAAGAGTTAGAAACTTTCTGATTGCGCGTTAAACAAAGAAGATATTAAAAGAAGATACAAGGAAGAAAACTCCAAGGGTTAATTAATCATAAATTTCTAATCGATAAAGGGTAAGAGTTTGAAGAAGTTTGATAAACTGTTGAAATACATGACAGCAAGTAGAATTAACGAGAGAAGAATTTGCGAGAGAAAACTCGTAGATCATAGAGACGATCCTATGTATTAAATTTATATATAATCTATAAAAGAGCGTTCATATCAATGAAGAAATGATTGTTTAATTATTAATATTCTCTAAAAACTCAAATTATTTAATTATTATTATTATTATTCTCTTTGGAAAGAAGGACTTTCAGCAAAATCTGATGCGAGACACGTCCCTCCGCGTTATGAAATCGTGTTTCCTTTTATTTCGTTATACTTTTCTCCAATTCAATTCGTTTT